CGAAAGACCCAGGACTGGACCTGTGGTCTGGTTCCGAAAGACCCAGGACTGGACCTGTGGTCTGGATCTGAAAAACTTCTGTTGTCTTCATACATGTCCTACTGTCCTCAGACATGTCCTACTGTCCTCAGACATGTCCTGCTGTCCTCAAACATGTCCTTCTGTCCTCAGACATGTCCTTCTGTCCTCAGACATGTCCTGCTGTCCTCAGACATGTCCTTCTGTCCTCAGACATGTCCTTCTGTCCTCAGACATGTCCTGCTGTCCTCAGACATGTCCTTCTGTCCTCAGACATGTTCTGTTGTCCTCAGACATGTCCTGCTGTCCTCAGACATGTCCTGCTGTCCTCAGACATGTCCTTCTGTCCTCAGACATGTTCTGTTGTCCTCAGACATGTCCTGCTGTCCTCAGACATGTCCTACTGTCCTCAGACATGTCCTTCTGTCCTCAGACATGTTCTGTTGTCTTCAGACATGTCCTTCTGTCCTCAGACATGTCCTACTGTCCTCAGACATGTCCTTCTGTTCTCAGACATGTTCTGTTGTCTTCAGACATGTCCTTCTGTCCTCAGACATGTCCTACTGTCCTCAGACATGTCCTTCTGTCCTCAGAGTTGTCCTTCTGTCCTCAGACTTGTCCTGCTGTCCTCCACAGAGGAACAGTTACCTGTTGTCCACAGGAGCTGAAACACAGTCTGTTGAAATAAAACATAAACTTTAGAAGACCTGGACAATGTACCTCTGACAAAATCCTGACTTTGCATAAAGTTTTCAGAATAATTTTTTGTCCTCTAGCTGTGGTCTAGTTGTGGTCTAGCTGTCCTCTAGTTGTGGTCTAGCTGTCCTCTAGTTGTGGTCTAGCTGTCCTCTAGCTGTGGTCTAGCTGTGGTCTAGCTGTGGTCTAGCTGGTCTAGCTGTGGTCTAACTGTGGTCTAGTTGTGGTCTAGTTGTGGTCTAGCTGTCCTCTAGCTGTGGTCTAGTTGTGGTCTAGCTGTGGTCTAGCTGTGGTCTAACTGTGGTCTAGTTGTGGTCTAGCTGTGGTCTAGCTGTGGTCTAACTGTGATCTAACTGTGGTCTAACTGGTCTAGCTGTGGTGTAGCTGTGGTCTAGTTGTGGTCTAGCTGTGGTCTAGTTGTGGTCTAGCTGGTCTAGCTGTGGTCTAACTGTGGTCTAACTGTGGTCTAACTGGTCTAGCTGTGGACTAACTGTGGTCTAGCTGTGGTCTAACTGTGGTCTAACTGTGGTCTAGTTGTGGTCTAGCTGGTCTAGCTGTGGTCTAGCTGTGGTCTAACTGTGGTCTAACTGTGGTCTAGCTGTGGTCTAGCTGGTCTAGCTGTGGTCTAGCTGTGGTCTAACTGTGGTCTAACTGTGGTCTA